CCTGGTGGCCACTCCAGCCTCAAACAAGAACACTCCACTCCCTCCCACACTCCTCAGAGCCCTTAAAGGAGTAGACTCTGGCCACAGTGCCTGTGCCAGCTCCAAGCCTGCCAGCCCAGAGCCAGCAGTCACTGCCCCGATCAGTGGCCCCAAAACATGAGCCAACAAGCCACTGGCAACCAGCCCTCCACTGCTCCCCAGGGCAGTCTGCAGGCTCCTGGGAGCCTGCCAGGGCCAGAGAAGGTGGGCACCTTCCTGGTCCAGGGTGGAGATTATGGACCTTATTCAGATTTGGGGGGGGGATGCCCCCAATGTCCATGATCTCCGCGCTAGATGGAGGTATGCGGCCATCTAGGGCAGGATAGCTGCCAGCCTGGCCACCAAAGGCCACATGCGAGCCCAGGAGCAGGTTTGCATGACAATCAAGTTGGTCCAGTGAGGCCCTGAGCTTCCCCTCCTCCTCCTTTCCCTTGCTTCCCCCTTCCAGCTCCCTCCTCCCAGGTTTCCCCCGCTCCTCTCTCCCACCCTCTCTTGTCCCCTCTCCTGCCTCCTTTCCACAGTCTCACCAGAGTTTCATTCCCTCCCCCCCTCCAGTTTTGTTAAATAAAGAGAGTTTGTGTTCATGAAAATACGTGTATTTTATTTCCCATCAGGAAGGGGGTAAGTGGAAGGACGTGAGGGAGAAATGAGGCACAAGCCCCCAGTGGGGCAGACCAGGGAGGCTTTTAGTGCTCCGCAGGGTGGAAGCTCTCCCACGGGGCCTCCTGGATACTGACAGCCCCCCGATGGACCTCCCGGATGGCAGCCTGCAGAAAGTGCAGCCAGGCTTGCAGCAACGTGTCCAAGAGGAGCACCAGAGTGCCCAGGGGCAGCTCTGGCTCCATGATGCAGAGTGCTGTGGTATCCCAAGTGAGGGCAACCAGAGCATGTAGAGACAAAATGCTTTGTTGTCCCTCATCGAGGTAGACAAGCAATCAGGGAAACCTGAGAACTGGTTGCCCGGTGGGGTCCCTTTAAGCATAGACCTCAGAGACTCAGGTCAGCAGCAGTAAGTCCTGACCTGGTGCCCTACTGGAACTGGTTCTGACAGCCTTAAATGCAATTCAGAGTTCATTCAGGATGGATGCGCTATTTTGAAATAGCAAAATGCTATTTCGAAATGCATTTTGTGTGTAGACTCGTTATTTCGAAATAAGATATTTCAAAATAACTGTGTAGTGTAGACATACTGTTAGAGACTAAGGCCTGGTCTACACTAGAACTTTGCAATTTATTTAGCCCTCTCCCCTCCTCCCCCCACATACTTGATTATCTAAGTGGTTTTCCCACACTACTATGCCTGTGGCACAGCCCTTAAGGGGTGTTGTAGTTGAATCCCATAGTCCTGCTTTTCATGAGGAGTAAAGCTGTTCCTGACTCAGCATAGGCTAAGTTACACTAATGTAGACACTGCATTGTTGGAAATCTGATTCTACTGGCCCACAGGAGGCCTCCTGCAGCTATCTACTATGATCACGCTGGCCACACCTTGCCTCTACTGCTCTCTTGCTGAGCACAAAAATCCCCCAGACCTGTAGAATGGCCTGTCTCATCAGGCCAGCTTCATGAGCCCTTTGCAAGCGAGCAGCATACCATGGAACACGTGGAAATGACTTCCACCACCAATCTGACACTGACAATGGTAAGTTCTTATGCTCCCATGGCCTCCACTGCCCAGGAGCGCAGAAGAGATCCAACCTGGAGTGCATGGGAGATCCTGGACCTCATCAAGGTGTGGGGGGATGAAACCAACCTCAACAAGCTCATGACTAAGGAAAGAAATGCCCATATCTATGGCAAGATTGCAGCCACTCTCGCAGCAAAAGGCAGGACCCTTGTGCAATGCAGGGTGAAAAGCAAGGAGCTGCAGCCAGCCTACCAGAAGGGCAAGGAGTGGCATGGAAGCTCTGGGGCAGCACCACACACCTACTGCTTTTCTGATCAGCTGCATACCATTCTTGGAGGGAGCGGCCAACTCTTCCACTATGGTCGTTGAATCTGGCCAAGATGCCAAGAGAGCAGTGTGGCGGAGGACAAGGAGGAGGACACTAGCCCGATGATGATACTCGAGAGCCAGGAGCGCCTCCTGAATCTGGAGTTGGTTCTCCCCTTCCTCCCCCACACACAAAGACGTCTCCCATGCCATTGACGACCCCAGAGAGGGCACATCTGGTGAATTCTCTAACTTTAACTACAAGCAAGGTCAGTCAACAGGCTGTGAGGGGCATCACATTCTCTCTTTACCTACTCAGCGCAGGGGGCACGGAAAAGCTTGTTCACGTGTCTACAGATGGGAGACGAAAGGCTAACAAGAAATTCAGGGATACCTTGTGGAGAGCCTCAGAAAAGAGTCTCAAAACTGGTCTTGCATAAAACTGTCCTTCAAGGCATCTCTGATTAGCACTACCCCTTGCTGTGCTCTCCTTATGGCACTGGTGTCTGGTTGCTCAAACTCCCTGGCTATCTGCCTTTCCTCAGCCCCCAACCTTGGTAGAAATGTTTCCCCTTCACTTTCGCATGGGTTGTGGAGCACACATGCTGCCACCACCACAAAGGGAATGTTGCATTTGCGGAGGTCCAAGAAGGTCAGGAGACTCCTGAACCTCCCCTTTTAAATGTCTGAACGTGCATTTCACCATCATTCTGCACCTGCTCAGCCTGTTGTTGAACTCCTCCTTGCTGGGGTCTAGGTTGCCTCTGTAGGGCTTCATAAGCCAGGGAAGCAAGGGGTAGGCTGGGTAACCCATGATCACGATGGGCATGTCCACCTCTCCGACTCTGACTGTCCAGTATGGCAAAAAAGTTCCAGCATGCATCTTTCAGAAGAGGCAGGAGGTGTGAAAGATGCACATGTCATGTGCCTTTCCTGACTATCCGACGTTGCTGTCGGTGACATGTCCCTTGTGATTCACAAGTGCCTGCAGTGCCATGGAGAAGTACCTCTTCCAGTTGATGAAATGCAAGGCACAGTGGTCGGGGGCCAGGATGGGGATGTGTGTTCAGTCTGTGGCCCTCCCCACAGTTAGGGAAGCTCATGGAGGCAAAGTCCTCCACAATGGTGTCCATGTTCCCCAGAGTCAGGACTCTCCATAGCAGGATGTTATTGATGGCCTTGGCTGCTTGTATGAGAGCAGCCCCAACCACAGATTTCCTCACCGCAAACTGGTTCCCGACTGAATGGTAGCTGTCTGGCATGGCAAGTGTCCAGAGGGCAATGGGCATGCACTTTTGCACCATCAGAGTGTGTCATGTGTGTCCTGTCACCTCAAGGCAGAGGCAAGCCATGTGCAGAGTTCCAGGAATGTGGCCTTGTACGTGTGGAAGTTCTGCAGCCACTGTTGATCGTCCCATATCTGTGGTCCCACCAGTCTGGGCTCATCTCCCAATGCCAGAAATGGCATTTCACTGTGCCCAGGGGATTGAGTGGTGGCCACAGTAGCATGAGCACCAGGACTTGCCTGAGCAGGGCCTCTGGGCTATGCCGAGATTCATTGTCATCCTCATTCTTCTGCTTCTCATCCTTTCCCTGGTAGAGCAACATGTGGCCACTCTCGGGGTTCATCTAGACACGGGGAACGGTCAAAAGAAGATATGCAAATTCCCACAGAATTTGCATATCTTCCAATCATTTTTCAAAAGTGAAAGTACACTGTAGTTAAGATGCGGCTTTTTTGGCAAACCCTCCCCCCCTTATTGAAAAGCCATGTAAACCTTTTTTTTTTTTTTTTTTTTTTTTTTTAATGAAAGCACTTAAAAAAAAAAAGGTTTACATGGCTTTTCAATAAGGGGGGGGAGGGTTTGCCAAAAAAGCCGCATCTTAACTACAGTGTACTTTCACTTTTGAAAAATGATTGGAAGAAAATAGGCAAATTTCCACTGAATTTGCATATCTTTCATCCGTTCTCCGTAGTCTAGATGAGCCCTCAAAGTACTATGCCATGAGGCATAGCACAAGAGCCATGAGCATGGCACTGCTTTGCAGCACCTTGGGCTCCAAGTAGGCAACCAGGGCACAAAAAGGTATGTGTCAATTGCAGTCCCTTTGTCATGCGAGAGGGGAGGGAGTAGAGTAGTGTCTTCTGGGATGTGGCCAACAGGAGCCCTGTAAGTAAGTTACAAGTTCTCTTATCAGCTATTGCTGGCATGTATTGCTCTGAATTATTGCTAAAAGCTTACGTACTCTGTATACTTTAACCGAACATTTGGTGGCATTTCTCTTCCTTGAATGGCTGTTCAGCCATGATGTGTTGTACCTTGTATTTTAATTATTGCTGTCTTAAATATCTGGGTGCTGCACTGTAGGTGATAATTTATTTAAAGCAGGAATTTTGCCCCAGGTCCTGTGCAGATAATTTGAGCAGTTTGAGAGAATTTTGAGTTTTACAACAATCCCCAATTTCACCAAACATTTGGCCTTCTGTCTGAGGAATTGAAAAGCTTGACCGAAGGGGCAGTCTCCCTTTCTCCTCCCTGCCTCTCCTAGAAATAGTGGCTAAAATGGACTGAGAAGGTTTTCAATGCAATATCTAGCTATAATATTTGCAGAAATGGTATATCTTTAGATTTAAAACACACACAACTATAATATTTTAGCATTAGTTGAAACTAAAACCATGTTGCAGATCAAATCCAAAAATCAGAATACTTAGTTATAGGTGGACATGTTGTTTATATTATCTATAAATATAACATAGCTCAAGACACATTTACCATCAACTTGTTATACTTTGACAAAATTGTCAATATTTACAAGGTTTTGCATTGCAAAAATTGGTAAACCAGTCTTGAGTCTAATCTGCATCTGCTCCTCACACAGAACTACCACTGAAATTTGTATATGGCCCACTTATCTCTCACACAATATATGGCAGTTCTGACATGGCTGTATTATTGGTGTGTCACTGTTATTTTTCCCTCTCCTCTCAAAAAAAAAATTCAGTTTATGTATATTTTTCTTTCAGGTCAAACAATTTACATGAGGATACCAGCACCAGAGAAGATTTTACAAGAAGATCTTGCTCAGACTTGGAGGGGAGGCAAGATGTTGGCATAGCTGTTGATCTAAAAACCTGCTATGCCAACGTATTGCCATCTTTCTCGTCTATTTGTAACAACAGCTAGCTTTCAAGTGGACATTCATACACTTTAGCCTTCTCTCTTGAAATACCACCTACTCATGAAGTGTGGTACTTTGACAATAGACAGCTTCTCTTGAAATACCACCTACTCCCTACTACTTATGAAGTGTGGTACTTTGACAATAGACAGCATGCTATATGAGCACTTGAACAGTTGCCTGGAAAATAATGTAGTCTATAGAACAGAGCGTTGAGAGAGATGGTGGGGTATTGTAACTTGGGATGTGAAGGGGGGTGTACATTTGGAGAGAGTTTGTGTTGTAATCTGGCAGCCTTCATAAGCTCTTAGATACTTTGTCATAGCATCCTAGGTCAGGAAGAGACCTCAGGAGGTCATCGAGTCCAACCCCCTGCCCAAAGCAGGACCAACCCCAACTAAATCATTCCAGCCAGGACTTTGTTAAGCCAGGATTTAAAAACCTCTAGGGCTGGGAGAGTCTATCACCTCTATTCATTCCAGTGTTTCACCACTAATATCCAACCTGGCCCTCCCCCAGTGCTCCTTGTACTGCCATCTGTCACACTGAGAAAAGCCTCTCCCCATCCTCTTTGAAACTTCACTTTAGGAAGTTGAAGGCTGCTATCAAATCCCCCCTCACAATCTTCTCTTCTACAGACTAAAGCCCAAATCTCTCAGCCTCTCCTCATAGGTCATGTGCTCCAGCCCTCTAATCATTTTGATTGCCCTCTGTGGTGTAGGGAGGGAGAAAGGGGGGGCAGTTGCCCCTGGGTGCCTTGCTGGGGGTGCCAATTTAGCTGCCAAAAGTTAACTTTTTTTGATTATTTCTTATTTTGTATATATTCCAATAGTGGTGTATGAAAAGGTTTCAGCGACACCTTCAAAAAGTAAAGGATGAAACCTTGAAAAAATAACTATTTATCCTATCATACTAGGCTACCAACTGGACTTCATAGCAAAGACACAGACCAGTCCGATTGTAATGGCCTGTCCCTCTCTGCAAATATTGGAGCACATAGCAGCAGCTACGCCCGTGATTCCCCACGCCTGCGCTTTCCTGCTTGCACATGAGGCCCCTCAAGGCATGGCTTTGCATACCCTATTGGCCGCACATGAGGCTCCAGCCATGGCTACGCACAACCTACTGGCTATGCATTCATCATATAAAAAAACATAAACAGATACTTCATTATTGGTTTGGGGAGCACAACTGGACCTCCAAGTGGTATAGGGTCAATGGAGCCCGGACCAGACTAGACAATACTTCAAGCTACTCAAGCTCAGGACAGAGAGAAACACACACATACACTTTCTTCCCCTATTCAGAACAGTGCAAATCCTTATGGACAGCGTCACTATGATATATTACATCAATCAACAGGGAGGAACCTGGTCATACCCACTCAACTGAGAGGCGGTCTGCTTGTAGAATAGTATATCCCACAGAACATATACCTAGTCTCCATTTACCTCACTGGCAAGGGACAACATATTTGCAGACAATTCCCACAAAATCATGAGTGGGAAATAAACCCATTAGTGCTGACTTACCTCTTCAAGAAGTGGGGGCTCCTAACAGTGGACATATTCACTACATACAAGAATGCTTTTTGCCCACAATATTGCTCTAGAGCAGGCATAGTGCCCCCTCCCCCCCACACACACACTCGCTGTGGGATGCTTTCAGCATACAGTGGAAGGCACCTTTAGCATATGCATTTTCCCCATTCCTACTAAAACAACAGGTGATCCTCAAGATCAAACATGACAGGGCCAGAGTAATCCTCATAGCACCCAACTGGCCCATACAAACATGGTATCCATACCTCTTACAGATGAGCATCCGAACACTGCATCGCTTCCCACCAGTCCGATCTCTGCTCACACAATGCAACGATCAGATATGGCATCCCACTAGTCACATGTTGCATCTTCAAGTGTGGATGCTGGCTGGCTGAACGCTGTGGAGTAGGTCTTCCTGGAGCCAGTGCAGCTCATTCTAGAAGACCTACGATGAGAAAAACATACATGTAGAAAGGGAAGCGATTCATAGACTGGTGCTTCTCCGACTCGTAGTTGCAGGCCCACATAGAAGTATCACAGATACTACAGTACCTACTAGACCTGCACAACGCAGGCCTTCCTCTGAGCTCCATAAAGGTACATCTCGCTGCCATCTCTGCTCTATATGCTCCACCCAAGGGTACTTTGACTTTACTCACCCACCTATCAGACAGTGCCTACAAGGCCTACATCATAGGTTTCCACCACTTAAAGATCAAATACCGGCATGGGACCTGAATCTCATGTAAAAAGTACTCATGGGCAAGCCATTCGAACCTCTAGCCACATGTTCTTTATTACATCTGTTGATGAGGGTTACCTTCCTCACCACAGTCACCTCCACAAGACCTGTCGGGAAACTAGGAGCCTTCCTCCCCACATACAAGATTTCATAAAGACAAAGTGGTCTTAAGAACATATCCCAAATTCCTCCCCAAAGTACTTACCTCATTGCACTGCAATGAACCGAAACTGCATAAAGACCACAAGAAAGTGGCTCTCCATAATTTGGATGTCTGCATGGCACTCACCTTCTATTTACAGTGGACAAAAGCATTCTGCAAGACTCCAAGACTCTTTATCTCATCCATAGAAAGATCACAGGGGTTACCCATATTAAAAAAAGGCTATCGAAATGGGTTTCTAGCTGCATACATTTAGCATATACCTTAACACAGAGAGAGCCCCCATGCAATGTACAGGCCCATTCTACAAGAGCTATGACAGCTACAATGACATTCCTACAAGGTACCACAACAGACCATATCTGCAAGGCCACTACACGGGTGTTGATGCATACATTCATGCAGTGTTATGCCATCCAGATATTTGCAGATTCAGAAACGAAGTTTAGCCAAACAGTACCCTGGGTCATCGACTCACACCTTTGGAAGCTCCAACCTCCTAACACAACTACTGCTTTGTAATCACCCAAAGGTGGAGCACTCACAGGGACACTTCTTAAAGAAGGGAAGGTTTCTCACCTTGTGCAGTAACTGGTGTTCTTGGAGATGGTTGTCCCCAGGAGTGCTCCACCACCCAACCCCCCCTCCTTCCGTCTGCTTCAGACATAAACACACATGAGTCAGAAAAGGAACTGAGGAGGCCATCAGCTGAGCATGAGGAGTAGCCACTTCAGATTGCACGCGCCAGCGCCCCATGCACCCAACCAACCATGGGCAGTGCTGTCACAAATATCCAGTTAGAGGGGCTGGAGCACCCAGGAGGACAACCATCTCGAAGAACTACAGTTACTGCCCCTGTTGAGTAACCTTCCCTTCCTTTGTTGCCGCCTTTGGCTGCAGGCAGAACTCCAACTTCTCTCTCCTTTTCTTCACTATCTGTGGATAGAAATTTAGTAAGTTACTTAACAGTTAGTTCTCCATTTTTTTCTTTTAGTAGTTCAAAAACAAACAAACAAAAGAGAGTTTCTTGTAAAGAGTTAGTTAGAAGTCATAGTTAGCTGTTGCGTGGTCCCTCAAGGGCAGCACGTGATGAGTGACAGGCCACTTCAGGCTTTCTTTAAAAAAAAGAAAAACAGGATCAACTCAGGAAAAGACCATTGAGCGACAAAATGCCAGGATCACCTCATTTCAAAAAATGTGAGAAATTCTGGGATCCCATGTCCATGTCTGGTGGCCATGCCAACTGTATTCGCTGTCTCAGTGAGACTCATGTCCACCAGAAATGCATTTACTGCTGCATCTTCATGGCCAGGGCTCGCAAAGATAGAGAGCTGAGACTGCGCATATTATTGTTCGACAAAGTGCTCGAGCCTCAGTCATGAAGGAAGGCACTAATCGTTCTGAGTCTTCTTCCCCTCTGAGGAACCTCTCAAGCTCTCCCACATCTAAAATTCAGTCAAACAGAAAAACTTCACCAGCTCATTTTCTCCCACCACGAATTGGCACGGGAGATAAGCCCAGGCGCATCAGGTACAGAAAGACCTTGTGTGGTGTCTGTCTCAGAACCCAAGCCACGATTTAAGTAGAGTGTGGCACCAGCTACCCAGGCACTGAAAAGATCAGGCACCTGGGACTCAGACATATCTATAGCATCTCTGGCACTTACCATAACCCTGGCACGGAGGAAGGCTAGGTAACCCACCAGACCTTTGCCTCACACACTAAGCCCAAAGTCACTGCCAAAACTGCTAGCCACAGTGGGGGAAGGGATAGTTCAGTGGTTTGAGCATTGGCCTACTAAATCCAGTGTTGTGAGTTCAATCCTTGAGCAGACCATTTAGGGATCTGGGGCAAATCTGTTAGGGATGGTACTTGGTCCTGCAGTGAGGGTAAGGAACTGGACTCAATGACTCCTCAAGATCCCTTCCAGTTCTTGAGATAGCTATAGTCAATACTGGTACCAAGCATCCTGGTACTGCAGCCAACTTCAAGCCTCCACAGGCAGACAAGACTATATTGCATCAGTGCTGGAACTTACACTGAGAGCCAGATCTCCTAACGAAACTTTATCAAGACATCACTCTCACTCCCCCACCAGCTTGAGGCTCTCCTCTCTCACCACAATCACTTCTTTATCTCATTATAGTGACTATCATGATGATGGTAGGAGTGTTTCCTCTTCTCAATACGAGCCCACACGTCTTATGATGTACATCGGCCATGGTATTCTCATAATCTCCCATGGCATCCTGATTGGTTGTGCCATCCTCAGCATCAATCCTGCTGGTCCCGATACCATCATTGGGCTCCTCCATGACAAAGGTCAACGGCACCCCCAATGCCATCTCAAAGATCCTTAACATCTGATCACCAGTGCCCTTCACCACCTCCAACAGAAGATCTTGAGATGGAAGAAGGGCAGATTACTGATGACCCAGACAGCTAACAACCTGATGTCACCTACGGACAAATCGTTCTCCTCTTGGGACAAGGTGGTTAGTGAACTCTTAAAGAACCTCCAATCTTCTACGGAATCGCAAATTGTGCTTCCTCTAGAT